CACAAGATGTAGCATATGAATGCAGCAGCACCATACCAGATGGGATATAAGATTGTAGAACAGATGTGGTATGTGGATATAGAAGCACCATAACAGTTGTAGCATCTATTAGATGTAGTATTTGTGGTGCTGAAGCATAACACCAGATGCGCAATGAGAATGCAGAATGTGCAGACAAGATGTAGCATATAAATGAAGAAGCATCAGACCAGATGTGATATTTGACTGCAGAAGTTGTGGAGAGCCATGATCGTTCACGTCCCTTCAGGACGTGACGTATAAGAGAAGAATAAGATATGCAGGATAGCGTCACTTCGCCATTGCAACACTAAAGTAAACGAAGAGGATATCTGAGGGTTTATATACAGAAAGCACTGAACTTATAAGCTTTTCCAGTACTGCATGTTTTTGCTCCAGTAAGTTCTGGAATTTATTTTCTAGAAATTTTATTTAAAATCGTATTAACTTATGTGCTTAATCTACTTAATTAGAAATGTGTGAGAAAATGTGTCACTATAAAAATCTATTAACTGTGTGAACTGCTTCATACAAAATTCTCAGTAAACAGGAATCGTTTCAGTCGCTAAAATATTTAGCTGGTTTTCATCTTAATGTTTTAGCTGCTTTTTCATAACTCTACTCAAGCTACCAGTTAATGTTAATTTATTCCGATCTTGTTAATACTTCTACTACTACTACTACTAATAATAATAATAAATATGATGATATATGTCAGGTTAGTCTACGAGTACTAGAGATACCATGTAGCCCATGATGCATGGTTTGGTCATTGGGTGATTGAACCTCCATCAGGCTTTTCTCTTGAGGAGAGTGAGTACACACCCAACAGGATTAGAACAAGACCTGTCAAAGTGTAGATGAACCTTCTTGTAGAATCAACGGTCATCTACCACAATGATCTAGACTGGATTCCATAGCTATGCATGTAGCCAGTTACAGTATTCTATTCCTGTGGTTCACTGTTGTCGTTTTAACATTAAATATTACATATTTACATAATTTTGCTACACGTATTTTGGGTCTCGCGACCGTCATCAGGCAAAGGGTGGATATTTCCACATATTATTAAAAACAATTAATTTTCTTTTATATATATATATATATATATATATATATATATATATATATATATATATATATATATATATATATATATAAATAGCCTCACCATGCAAGGCTTTCCACCATGCTAGGCTTTTTAGTTTCAGCAATAAGTAGAGCTTGCTTTTTATGACGTGTAGTTTCTAACCGAACCGGATTTGGATTCAAAGTTGTCCTTCTTCTAGACTGGTTGCCAACCCAGGATATTAACTTCGAGCTGGCAAGAGAGATGGATTTATACCATTGCAGTTGTATATGTGCGAAAGTGAATGCAAGTACTTCAGCTGGAATTCGAATTCGGCGCGCTAATTTTACTTTCCGCACAGACAATCACTACGCAAAAGAACACGTTCCTTTTAACACTTAAATATTAATTTTAAACATTTGAATTTATATGCATTTGATTCACCTGAAATAATTCTTTGGGTGTTAGTTACTTGGTGTTTGGTTGATTTATTTTATAACTTCAGTTGAAAAATGTCTGCCATTTGTTTCATCCGTCTAGTTTCGTTTTTCTCTTCTTTTTTCACCCTATGCAAGGCAGTAAAGCCACTAAGATACAAGGGGTTACTGAATGTGAAAAAATAACTAAAAAGTGAAACTCTATTAAAGAGTTTGGGGCATTTTTTCACCATGGTATGCTAATTTCTTAGCAAATAAATGGAGATTCCTACGATTAAGCCACTAACACAAGGGGTTAATGAGTATGAAAGAATAAAAAAGAGAAACGTTATTAAGGAGCGAGAACAATAGAAGAAGAGTAATCAAGAAGACAATAGAAAACGATTGACATTGCATTTAATTTTTTGAAAATCAAAGTTGGCTTGAAAGCATGGAGCCAGAAGAGAGTTCCACAAGTGAGAAGTGCGAGAAAAGGAACTGTTAGCATAGAACTTACGGTTACATCTAACCATTTCAACTGTAAAATGATGAACATTTTTCGCCAATTCTTTGCGCTATTACTACGCTTAAATTCTTAAAATCTACGTACTATAACCGAGAGTTCATCCGAACAATTACCATGAAAGTATTTATAGAAAATCACAGAGAAATTAAATTACGACGATGGGGAAGAGACTGAAGACAAGATGCCAGTTCAGGACCAATAATATTGCTGAATCTTTGGATTTTATCAAGAGTTTCTTTTTCGTTTCTTTTTTTAATTTTTTGCGCACGCGCGACATTGCAATAAAGTTTCAGTCAAAGATTTTAAAAACCTTGTCATTCAATGGTTCGAGGTAGACATTATGGACCAATGGACGAAGATATTACATGCGTACCAAGGTTGATGTAAAGAAAAACAACTGTATATACTTCAAAGTTAAGAGGGTCATAGATTGATTTAATTAATTGTTTAAATACAAAAGAGATTAAATGGAAATGAAATAAGAATTAGCTTCTAATAATATTCTCAAGTAACCATGAAATAAAACAGATGGATGGATATTTATGTCTAATAGTTATAATAATTATTGTAGATTTTACAAATATTTGAATGCACCAAATGTCAGGCTGTAAAAAAAATAGCATTGTCGGTTCAGTTTCGTCAAAGTTGGTATGTCAGTGCAGATATTCGAAATTAAAAAATACTTATTTCTTAGCAGGACTCGAAAACCAGATGATGGATTCAAAATTCAATTTTCGATCGAAGTTTCCATTAAAACGATTCCCATAAAAAATGATAGACATGAAGAAAATCAAACAGATTAATATAGGGAATTTTTAGAAAAAAATAACGACAATTTCGCTAAGGAACCGATGTGTTCCATATTTAAAATTTGGTTTCAAGTAGAATTTGAATTTAAGTCAAAAACTTGCGACTGTTTTTCTTTCGTGTTTTATTTATTTTTTGTTTGGCATTGATATAAAATACACTTTCCTTCATTGGTCCAGGGTGAGCATTAAAGACCAATCAGCAAAGACGTTACATCAGTACTGCAGTCAATATAAAGAAAATAATTACATACTTCAAAGTTAAGAAGGTCATAGTATAATTTAATTAGGTATTTACACATCAAAGCTATTAATAAAATGAAATCAGAATGGTTAATTTCAAAGATCTTCCTATCAAGTGAATATAATAAAAGGTTTATTGCATAAGATAACTCAAACTGATTTTTTTTAACATAAATAGAACTATACTATGTATTGCGGACATAAAGTGGAAAGATTATTGAAAAAATAGTCTGCAGCTGGGAAAGTTGGTTCACTGTGTCGGGATAGACATTTTTTCTCGACAGAAACTATCTTACATATTTATAAGTCTACTATTCGTCTATGCATTGAATATTGCTGTCATATCTGGTCTGGTGGCTCTGTTATCTTTTTAGAAATTCTTCATAAAATCCATAGAAGTGTAGTGGACCGTGGCGGTGATGAATATATAGAAGAATACACGTGAGTTAAAATTTTCTGCTATCCGGTCCAACTACATCAGAATATTGGACTTTAATTAAGTCCAAAGAAGACAATAAGAACAAACAAGACCGATAAATATATGTAAACAAATATATGTATTAATAACAAGTTAAAGTTTACAAGTTACATGGACAGAGTGCGTGTGGTGAATTTTATGTGTGTGTGTGTGTGTGTGTTGTGTTGTGGTGAGTGTTCGTACGTGCGTGTATTGTTCTTAGCGTGTTCCCAGAATTTGGGAAACGCAGTATCTGTGAGAGCTCACATCTGCGAGGTGGTATAAGACTGAAGGCCTGATGGAAAAAAGAGATCGAGGCGAAGGGTCACCCAGTATTTATAGCCAGGGGAGAGAGACTCCTGGTGAAGGATTAAGGAACTAAAGGAGGAGCTAACTCCGACAGAAGAATCAAATATATTATCGGTCCTCACCAGGCATCTTGCCTTCAGTTACTTTCCCACAGTCGTAATATATCTTCCCTGTGCGTTTTCTATAAATATTTTCATGGTAATTGTTCTGATGTATTTTCCTCTTTGGTACATCGGCTTTACGAATTTAAGCATAATACTGAGTTTGAAGCTAGATATCGTCATTTTACAGGTGAAATGGCTAGATGTAATCGTAAGTCCTATGCTAACAGTTTCTTCACTCGCTTGTGACACTCTCTTTCGGCCTTTTGCTTTCTAATCAACTTTAATCTTCAAAAGTGTAAATGCAATGTCAATCGTTATTTTCTGTTTTCTTAATTCCTGTTCTTTTATTTTTCTCTCTCCTTAATAATGTTTTTCTCTTTCTCATATTCTTTTACGCTTAGTAACTCCTTGCGTCTTAGTGGCTTTATTGCCTTGTTTGGGTGAAATGATTAGAATATACAAAAGCCAGTGTGTAACGTTATATTTGATAACGTCTGATAAGAATACAAACCTAAATGTTTCCTCCGTAAAATTGTTTGTCTTCGAGACTCTCAAATTAATGTCGATTGTGAGTGGTATATGATTTTTTAGAAGGACCTTCTTCGAACGCTCGATTTTCTTCTCGCAATGACGTGAGGACTCTTCGTTCACCGGCGTTAATAGGGCGTTTATATAATTTACCCGGTTGTCTTGCGTATATATACTGTAAAGTCAACTTTGCTGATTTCCTGATTTATAACGTATCACAAATACCACCGACATATGATTCGGCACCTGATGACTGATTGACGAATGTGTTTTACGGCTTATCAACCTTTACATGTTATTTAAAGCTAGAAAACATTTTTTAATTGTAAGAATTTTTTTTTGGTGGTGGCGGGGTAATAATGGTTTACTGGTACAAGTCCTATTAATTAACCCATAGCTGGGGATAGAAGATGTGGATTCAGAACTTTCGTTCGTAAGTGAATATAACGAGCCCCGACTAGAATTGGACTCTCCGATTTCCAATTCTGAGCCGTTATCCATTACAACACCCGCACATCCAAACTTACAGTGTCTGGTATTCCCAAGCGGCCACCCATTTAGTTACTGACTAAGCTCGACGTTGCTTAACTTCAGTGATCGTACGAGAACCGGTGTTTGAACGCGATATGGCCGTAAGCCTCTGGTGACTTTGAGATTAACTTCTAGGTCAGCCTCCTGAGACACCTAGCTCTTTTGATGTTCTGATGTGACACTGGATGCAAAGCTTACTTTGACATTTCATCCAGGGAAATCAGTATATATTGGGGTCACCACACATTAACTCTTCTTGGATCAAAGGTTCCTGATGGACATTAAATTTGATTCAGACTTCTGCTATTTCCTGGCGTGATCACTTACGACAAGTGCATGTTAAAGTGACGTGCAATACAATATTTTAATCGACTCACCACAAGTAAGGCGTTACTGGGAGTGAAAGATAACTTTAGAAGGAACCGAAAACCCAATCCTAAACAGTAAACAAGGGGTAAACCTCTATTCTTGCTCAAAAGCAAAAATGTAAGTCGACCTTAAAGAAAAATTCAACAAACGCGAATTAATAATAAACAAAGATTATTATTAATTCCCATTTGTTAAATATTTCTTTCACATCAACTTTCATTTTTGTTACCAATTGGGTTGCATGTCAAATTAATATGCCTTGGTACTGGTATTTTAAATAGTTATGTTAAAAATACAAAAAAAAAAGGCTATTAGGATATACTGGTAGCTTAAAGTGGAATAGGCGAGCAAAGTTCAAATTTTGGCCCTATCTATGGCGTTTACAGTCGCATAAATGTCCTTCGAAATGCATGAATCCATCTCTTCTCTCCCAGCTATGGGTTAATTAACAGAGTAGACTTTGCTCTCTAGCTTTGGGGAAAAGCCGGTCATGGGGAACGATACAGCTGAGACACATCATACTAAATCCACGGAGTCGAATCCCCCTCATTCCTCCCGTATTTCTATTGTAACGAGGAAGTTCCACTCAAAAAACATTTTCCCAACAAATGCTACTTTGTGATACGGACTCTTGGGTGAATGCTTCCCTCAATACTACAACAACAACATTAACTCACTTTCGTTTAACAGGACAAACAATTATGATACTTAGCGCCATCCATAGTTTATGCTTCGATAGACAGCTTTTAGAATATTTTAGCGCGTCCTTTAATTCCAAATTCAAAACCGTGCGAGAGTAACGATACTCATGGCAATTCCCGGGAATCTGTGGAGAGCTATGGTCGCCCATATCCTGAAACAACATAGCATTAAAAAAGAGTTTTTCAATGATTGTTTGATTCTTATCACCGCCATTCTCTGAGAAGCCCGTGAAGATTGAATAGAGCTACCATTTGAATTGGAGTTACGATTTGAGTCATTTGAATTTAAAATTTGACTTGATATTTGAAATTGTCGAAAGCACTTAGCATGTGTCTTCCATCTAACAACACCTCGAATATAAGGATCTTATTATTCACGGAATTGATAAGTTAATGTCTTATTAAGTCTTGTTGGCGAAGTGATTTCGCCATTAATCACATTAACATTGCTAGTTAATTCTTTGTATAAATTGTTTCTTTATGATATAAAATATAAGCTGCATACTCTAACACACACACACACACACACACACACACACACACATATATATATATATATATATATATAGATATAGATATAATTTATAAGTAAATTCAAAAGATGTAAGCGCATAAACACACACTTACTGGTCACTTTAGTAGGTATACTATACTAGTATCCTGTTCACATTATTAGGTATACAATACTAGTACTCTTTCTAGTAACCTGATTACTTTATTAAGTATACAATTCTAGTTCCCTGGTCACTTTATTATATAGTTATACTATTCTAGTATCTGGTTGGACTTGTTTTGCCTTTAGGACTGATACATCTTGGTATGGATTCGACAAAGTTTTGTTTTTATTATGACATCTCACAATTTTTCTAGATTCGTTGGTTGCGCGTCCAGGGTTCATTTTTTTTCCTTTGCCCCACACCCCAAAGGTGCTGTACTAGAATGAGATTCGATGACAGTAGAGGCCACTCTGCCCTTATCTTTCATTTTTGTTACCGTTCGGTGTTCTGTTAGAAATAGCCCCCCAGAGGATGGAGGCACCGTAGTCATAAATTTGGTCTCTTGGTCAGTCACAACACCTATGTAGGTTGCGGCATTTAAACGATCTTTTATTGATACCAAAGATCCCAACGTTTATTAAGAAAATATTCCCAATACCATTATGCAACCACCACGTGCCACTAAAGTTTAAAATAAGTATTATTCTTATATCCAATAGATCTTGAAATTCTTTAATTTTATTTCTTTCATAATAATGGTCTAATTCCTGTTATTCAGTTAAGCATAAAGAACCATAATATATTATGTTCCGTTCCACAGGTCATTTATCAAATATTTCCGACATAGTGTGAAAGTAACGTTACTAACATTCCATGACAGAAATGACATCAGTTGAGAGACAAGCTGAAAAATGAGACACGATTGTACAAAAATAATTTGCCACATTCCTTCCATGAACCTCAACAGGAATGATTTGTAAAGGTTATAAAAACTGTAAACTGTTTCCAAAAGAGAGAGACGGAGAGAATCAAATTGAAATAGACAAAGATAGATAGATAGATAGATAGATAGATAGATAGATAGATAGATAGATAGATAGATACAAATACCCGAGATAGATAGAAAGATACAAATAAATCGAAATAGATAGATACGAATAGACCGAGATAGATAGATAGATAGATAGATAGATACAAATACCCGAGATAGATAGAAAGATACAAATAAATCGAAATAGATAGATACGAATAGACCGAGATAGATAGATAGATAGATAGATAGATAGATAGATACAAATACCCGAGATAGATAGAAAGATACAAATAAATCGAAAGAGATAGATACGAATAGACCGAGATAGATAGATACAAATAGCCGAGATCGATAGATAGAAAGATACGAAAAGACCGAGATAGATACATAGAAAGATACGAATAAACCGATAGGTAGATACGAATAGACCGAGATAGATAGATAGATAGATAGATAGATAGATAGATAGATAGATAGATAGATAGATAGCTAGATAGATAGAAATAGCCGAGATAGATAGAAAGATACGAATAGACCGAGATAGATAGATCGATAGATAGATAGATAGATATGAATAGACCGAAATAGATAGATAGATAGATAGATAGATAGATAGATAGATACAAATAGCCGAGATAGATAGAAAGATACGAATAGACCGAGATAGATACATAGAAAGATACGAATAAACCGAGATAGATAGATAGATAGATAGATAGATAGATAGATAGATAGATAGATAGAAACAGGCCGTGATAGATAAACAGACTGTGATAGATAGATAGATAGATAGATAGATAGATAGATAGATAGATAGATAGATAGATAGATAGAAGGAGGGAGATTTGTCTCAGGTAAAGGCAGTTTGTACTGAAGGATTAAATCATGTTTGTGAGCTAATGATCTGTTGATGATAAATTCGCTGCTGAACTGACATTTTGAAATTAAAGTTGTTTTTATAATAATTATAAGCATTTATCATATAATAAAAATACATTATATTGTTCTAATCAAAAATCCTATTAAACCCAGACGATGTTGAGCGTCCGAGAGGAAAACAGATATAGAGCGGGACTAAGAGTGTAAAACAGAAAGAGAGAGTGGAATATAGAGAGGTAAAAAGAGAGTGTGGCGCAGAGAGGGATTGGAAGGAGTAGTTAAAGGCAGTTGTTTGTAGTGAGGAGTTAAATCATGTTTCGTGACCTAACGATCTGTTGATGACATTTCAATTTTTTATAACAGAGACTATGATACTATTCTTATAACTATCTGGGAATGGTTATAGGTTGAAAAGTACAGGGCGTAGCATTAAAAAAAAAGCTATTATTAAATCCGGGTAAGTTACACGAGTCCTGCTAGTTATTATTATTATTATTATTATTATTATTATTTTAATGTCTTGTGACATTTGATCTTTTAATCGATCGCCAAACTCTAATTTTGTTGGCACTGATCCCTGCATTGACGGAGCGTTGAGCTGATGATTATTCAGCGCATTTTCATTGGGTGCTTTACTTTGTGACGTAATAAGTGAGAAACGTGACACATCGCCGTGTCTGATTCAAGTCGAATATCAATGAGCAAATTATTGATAGTAGTCTGGTAAAATTCTGACTTTTTTTTTAAAAATCGAGTAGGTATAAACATTGTTGTCTCGAGTTGACATGAATAGTATTAGGTAAAGACGTAGAATCGATTTCCAAGCACCTCTTTACTTACGTACCTGTATGTGCCATTGAGATTTTGAAATCTATTTAGTCAAGAGTTTTAGTGCTCTCCAGGAAAAAAAAAATATAGTCCTGCTTGTAGTGAACACAAAATAATAATAACTCCCTTTATCTACACCCTTCAAATTCGGGCGAGCTGGGTAAGGAAAAATACGGAAAGAAATTCGCAAGCCTATGTGAAATTTTCTTTGGACAAATGAAAACTTTACCTTCACAGAAATTGTCCGGCGAGCTGAGAAAAAGACGGAAATAAATTCGTGAGTCTGTGTGTTTTATATAAAATGAGAAAAAAATTAACAAGATTGTCTGAAGTCATGTCAAAGGTTTCGTTTCTTTTCACGCGTCTAGCGTTCAAGTACTTGCTATTGTATAATTATTCGCCAATTATATTATCGGCTTTTAACCAAGTACGTAACACTTCAAAGAATTTTCTTTCAACAATCTAAGAAAGTAAGTATTTTAAACTCTCTCTTCGTCTACTTTTGAACGTATGGAACCGTGTAATCCTTCCGTGAACAACGAAACTCTCTTAGCATTTTAAATCTTTTACATTATTTTGTGTCAGATCATTTTATCTGTTGTATGAACATTTACTCTTTATGACAATTCGTTGAAACTACTTACTTTAAAGTTTATTTATTTATTTTTCTGAAACGAGCTACTGACACAACTTCTAGCGTGTAAATTTGTAAATGAATTCCTTATCTAGTTTTTTTTTTTTTTTTTTAAATTACCCGTGTTTTTCTTCGGCATTATGATCCTTCATTAACATTCTTGGCGTGGGTAAATCATTTGTTCATTTTAACCCGAAATTGTCACGCCACTATATGCCCAGTGATGAATTTAGAATTAATGAATGAATTATTTAGGTAGTGGGGTGTAATATCAGATTGTTTGGGTCACGAGAAAGACCAGCTGATGTGAGCAGTATGTGTACAGAACCAACCCTCGTCTTAACACTTTTTACAGATGTTAAGAAAAAATATATACAACTCTGTTCATTGCAGATAAGTTCTATTCTTTAATTCCACAAGATTACATCGAGCAGGCATTATCCTATTTACCTGAAAAAGGAAATAATCTTATTCCCTCTGATTTTCTATTTTTCTTTACCAAAAGTAAAGACAAGTTCAAGTCGGACAGGTTTTTTTCCCCTCAAGAACTGCTACTTTGTAGAACAGACACCTGCGTGGGTGTTTCCTTAAACGCTACAATCTTGCTCTTTTCAAGTCAAGGTCTGTTTATCCTCATAATCATCACTACCTACCAATCCCCGTTACATTCATATCACACTTTTCATTCATATCACACTTCTCATTCATCATTATAGGTTTAACAGTAACCCTCTTCCTTAAGTGGTTTTCGAAACTTATAGTGGATGAATCCTCGTATTAAAAAAATATTGTTTTGTCACAATTTATTTTTTCTACTTGAAGAATCTTCATCCTTTCAACGTGGAAGGGTGAAACCGGAAGTTAGACGGAGAAAGCCGGAAGCTATGTGTCGATGTCCAGCACCATGATAATTTAAAAAAATGTTTTCATCTACTTTATTTCGAACGAACTCAAAGACTATTAACTAGTTTTTTCATTCGTTTTTTTTTGTCTCTCCTGACCGATCTCTGCCTCCCTTCCCACCGAGGAACACGCTCCTTTTTGATCCACTCGGCGAGCGATGTGGTATAACGAATTAGATTTGTCTATATTTCTGAGACGAGGTATTATGTACATTGTTCGGACTATTGTCCTCATCTTTGTCGCCATATATATCACAACGTTTCGGCCGTTGTACGCTCCGGCCTTCAGGTGATTGGAACCCTTTATTTCGCTCACTGGGGTAGACTGTTCTAGTTCCACGTGTCATGTTTGATGGATGTCAGTTATCAGTTATCTCCTGCTAATTTCCCTCTGAAAGTTTTCCACTGCCTTAACCGGGTATTGAACTCACACTCTTTGGGTCCTGTCACTGGATCTAACCAACGCCTTTATCCACTGTGCCATGTGTCCTTGAATTAGATTTATTAGTCATTCTGTTTTTTAATTGTTTTCACACTTATATTTTAAGTATAATTCAGTACTCATACGATCATAGGTTATAGGACATAACCCATCAGGATCGTACTTCAGCAATTGCAAACGTGGTGTTTCCTGGGCAAACTAGTCTGACGGTACCCAACCCTCTCTAGTCTGGTTTGAATTCAGAGTTTTCCTTCTCCTAGACTGGTTGCCACCCAAATCTATTTACCCATAGGTAGAACAGATGGAGTCATACTTTTTCCAAGGGTATTAGCATATAAGTGAATGTAATTAACATGACTGGAATTCGAACTCGTCTCTCAAGCTGCTATCTATGACTACACTATGCCTCTATAATTCATTACTAGTCGTTGCAATTCCTCCTATCAGCCGCATTAGTCAGCCAACTAAAATTGATTAACCCTTGCCGCTGCAGGTGACTGTGTTCTTTATCATCTGCCATCGAGCATTGCATATCAATTCAATGTATCAGTTTGTTCGTGCTTGCCTTGCTCTGTAATTGTAGAGTTGCTGCTCACTCCAGTTATTTATTATTCAGGTTTGTTCCTTCGGGTGACTAAGATTTTGTTTGTTTCTCCAATTCACTGACCCCACTTGCCAGGAAATATTGTCCCGCCATTATAACTCTCTCCTGATTGTAGGATCATGTCCTTAGTCATTAAATTGTATCATAACCGAATAGAAATAATTATATTTATTTTAAAAATATCAACATCTCAGGTTATAAATTTTATTTAAAATAAGTTTTTCTTTAGATAAAAATATTTAATTTATTTGAATTCTGTTCAATTTATATTAAGAATTTTGCAGTATTTGTATTATGAATTGTTTATGATGCAACATTGAAATATATAGCGTTTTCCAAAAAGTCTGGATCTATATCCGTTGTTGCATAAAATTTGATATTTTTATTATTTCAGATTCAAGATGGCTTCGAAACAAACAACAAAAGACCTAACCTAACTCGTTCTCATATATGCAAAACATGAATCTTTACATCATGATACTGTCAGCTTGCACAATACATGTTATTGTTCTTAAGACAAACCAGATTGGATAGCGAACGGCCATTTCCAAACCAAAAATTATGGTATAGGAAGGGATAATTGATGAAAGATTAATTCGACCATATTTTTTATCGAAATATAACGGGGAAAACTGGTAAAAGTATACAAACGGGGCCATAATTCGCATGCGCAAAATGTCGAGTTAAAATTTATAAATATTGTTTATTGTTTTTAATATATCCACAAATACATTTGAAAAAATTTTTTTTTCGAAATATTCAGATGTATATTCCCATTCGTGCGAATGCTTGTTGGTTTCTTTTTCTCTGAGAAAACGCTTTAGATGAAGCCAGCTATTCTTGTTGTGTTGTGTTGTAATGATAGTTATGGGCACGTGGTCGAATAAGAGCACGTGGCCCAAATATGAGAACGTGGCCGAATATGGGCACGTGGCCGAGTGGTTAGAACGTTCGCATTCTGACCATGAGACCCGGAATGGAGTGGTCGATTCCAGTGCCTGAAAACCATACTACGGGTTAACCCAAGCCTTGTGAGTGAAAGTTGGGTGCCGTCGATAGCTGTGCTAGCATGAAGTCACAAGTCGTCGTGGCTGAGGGCTTGAGCGTGCTGGCCTTGTTCAAATTGTTGATCACGCTAGATAACACGCTTTCTCCCAGAAACAGTAACTAAGGTCTGCTCAGCATAGTTGCAGTATAAATCACGGGTTGGCTCTGTGGGTGTTGAATAAACACAAATGTGCCTGAGCAAGCGTCTGCAATAGGGATTGGCTAGCCACTCTAGTATACTGGTATCCTCGAATACGAGTGGCCAGCTATATATACATACATGTAATGATAGTAGTGATCAGTAGTTAAGTTCTTGCCTCTCTCTTAGTTTATTATACACTTTATATCTCTTCTGTCTAGCGTATGCAAATAACTACAATGTTATTTACCAATCCACTACAGTTCTCTATTGTTTGAGTATGAACTAAAGATTCATTCAAATCAACAAAATTACAGCTCCATATACATCCATCAGAACAACTTTTGAATACTCAAGGTCATATTGCAGCAACAATCTTCACAGGTTCTTTGTTCTGCAATTAACTTGTTTTCTTTCAGAAAGTTTTAAAAAATTCTCCTTGTCTTTCAAAAGTTCTAGCAAATTTTCTACTTTCATTTTTGCGCATGAGAATTATGATTCCGATTCTAGACTCTTACCGGGAAATTTATCGCTGGGTGATACAATCTTTCACTGTCTGCTAGGAATTGAACTCCCAATTACTATGTCACCAAAGTGACTAGACTATTGACCCAATAGTTGAGCTTGTCCCAATAGGCGTTCAAGGCTCTGGTCTTTCCTGAGAAAACACCCGTTCATCGTGATAGGTGAAAATTCAGGGTAGGGAGAACTTTGAGCCTTAAACCTAACCTGCTGCAGTTATTTGTCATGCTGGACTGCACTCACTGAAGCTTTTTCTCTTTTGTTAGAGCTGCTTTAGGTCGAGGATTACAGCGTAAGAAGCGATATGTGTGGGAGGTAACGGTTAACCGTAGCCTTGAACAGGTTAAAACTGTAGTAATTGTGTAAGCATCCTCTTGTGAGTTGGTTCCACAAAGCAACAGTACGTAAGTAGTAGCTGACCGAGTGGAACATACATCTCACCAATGGAATACAAAGAGAATGAGAGTGGTTTGTTGCAATGTGCGGGCCATGATGGGTCTTAGGCACGAAGATTAGAACTAGTGAAACTAAGGAATGTAGTTCGTCTGAACACTTGCCATGGAAATAGCGAAGGAGTATAATAGTGTAGTGACAAGCTTGCAACATGTCGCTTGTGAGAAAGGGATTGTAGGGTAGGAAATAATTCATCAGTCACGATGACGCGGGGACGCTTTTGGACTCTATTGAGACTGAAAAGTGAAGGCTGTCCATATATGGCTGCAGTACTTCATTTCCAGCCTGTCTGGCGTTTGTAAAGGTAAATGATAGCAGGGGGTGTCAGGTACCTGTTGAAGCAGTATAGGGAACTGACCATTTCCCCCAGAATCTTTAGCGATCCATCTTATGTACGAGTTCCACTTGAGGTTTGGGTTGAGCCTGTCCCAATTGGCGTTCAAGGCTCGGGGCCTCCCTGAGAAAACACCCGTTCATCGTGATAGGTGAAAATTCGGGGTAGGAAGAAGAATAAGGTCATCAAATAGCGGATAAACTCCAAGAGTAAGCGGCTAGTTAACTAAATATGGTACCTCAATAAATAAATAAAAAAAAACACCCGTCCTAGGTATGACGTTAAACTACATCCAGCAGCAAGGCCTCTGATCGGGAGGTTTTGAGGAGCGTAGATCCATCTCTTAATTGTTGTTGTTCCCAGGTCTACCCTGACCCAGGGAGCTAGAACTTGTTAAGGTTCCAGCTATGTGCAAATAGTTAACCACTAACTGGGGTCAAAATACTATCAAAGTATAGAAATAGATTTTTATAGTAAAAATACCAGCAAGACATATTTGAAAAAAATTTCCAATATCAGATTTGACTCTCGACAAAAACCACCTTTTCAAAAATACGTCAATGAAACCTGATCTCTTACAAACTGATTTTTTTTTTACAAATAATACATATTTTATTTATACGAACCTATCCGAAAAAAATATTGCCGACATTAAATAACCCATTGAGCTTGAGATGCCGTAAACCAAAAATAAAAAAAAAGGGAAAAAACAAAGAAAGAAAGAAATCACCGTTGGGAAGGTAAAGGAAAGCCTCTAGAGTATTCTTCCAAGAACAATCATGAATGAAACTGAAAATACGTATTTCTAAACAGTCGATTAAAAGAACATGTGGAGTAGCTCAGAAAAAAGGTAGTAGCGATAAAATTGGCGGCAAGACTAATTAGCTGTCGGTGATTCGGTTGCCAAGATGGAATAAGCATTTCGATATGTAATAGTAAGCTTCGGTGTTGTAGTATATACGTGCGATTCCTGGCTGAATTTCGAAATCCCGCAACTTAATTTGAAGGTCGAATATCGTATAGTTTTAAAATGTTGCTAGGAAAAAAAAAAAAAGAAAAAAAAAATGTAGAAAGTAAAATACGCGGAACGAGCATGAAGTGCAATGCAATTTCAAAATCATTTGATGACGTAAGCATAAAACAGGTAAATAAATAAATAAATAAATAAAGAAAGAAAGAAAGAAAGAGAAAAAAGAAAGAAAAAGGAAAAAAAGAAATAAAGAAAGAAAGAAAGAAAGGAAAGAAAGAAAGAAAGAAAGAAAGAAAGAAAGAAAGAAAGAACTGACCTGTTCTTTTTTTACGGCTAATCAAACATTTGCAGGTTATTTACAACCAAAAAATATTTTTAGATTGAAAGTATTTTTGGAGATAATGATTTTTACTGATAAACGTTCTCCTAACTTACCTATAGCTAGTGAGGGGGGGGATAAATGGTGCATTCATACCTTCCCTAATGATATTTGCACGTTAGTGGATGTAACGAACCCGAATGGAATTGGAACTCAATTCTCCGATTCCAATTCTGAGCCGTTATCCATTACACCACCCACTCGTCCAAGCTTACAACACCTGGTATTCCCAAGCTGTCACCCATTCCAAATACTGACTAGATTCGATGTTGCTTAACTTTGGTGATCGTAGTACAACGAGAGAGAAAAAACATTTGCTTTGTTAACATAGATCAACTTAATAGCTACAAATTATAGTCATTATAGTTATTAGGCGGAGTCTGAAATAATTCCCGTTTTCGTTTATCCAATTTTATTCTTTAAAAAAGTTAAGTTCGGTTATATTTGATTCTATTATACATCCACCTTTATTTCCAATGACTTGTTGTCACTTATCAGACAGTCCTTCGATACATTTTGAGTAAAATTCAGCCGGTTTTTATGTGAAAATGCTTTCGACGAACTCTTGAATTTCGTCTTCATTAAAGAAACTTTTCCTCGCCAGCCTTCAAAAGCGGTAATAATCGGTCGATGCTGGGTCAAATAAATATGGCGCGTAGGATAGAACACACCAAAAGTATTCCAATTTTTTTTCCTGCGTTCGTCTTGCTGTATGCGATCTTGCGTTGCCATCAAAAGGAATAATATTTTACTTTTAATACAAAGTGTACGTTGCCACTGCCATGCAAAACGTTAGTGTGGTCTAAATTTATTCTTAACTGCAACGTATTATTAGTAGTTAGGATAATATATTTGTCATTACAATTGGTTCCTCAAAACGGAAATTAATTATGACAAACTAATAGAATGGCAAAAAAGCGAGCTCGCGTATAATTTGAAATTTAGGCCATTTTCTCGAGAGTTTTGAGACATTGTGTGTCAGCCATATTCATAAAACTCGTTCAATGACCCAAACTCTGCTTAAGTAACTTTTTCTCTTAGCAATCTTAAGTTTGCATTTATAATTTAAAGTACACTAAATGATAAAATAAAAAAAAACACAAACTATTAAGTAAATTAGTCATGCTTCAGTTTATATCTTATTTTCATTTATTCGGTCCTTCAAAACTACTCGACCAAATTTTATCGAAACTAACAGACGACATCATGGCGGCCCATAAAATTCACGTAAGAAATCTTAAACGCTGAACAACATTCTATTATATTGGGTATGTATTTTTTTTTTATCTTCTTTTCACAGAGATGGGACATTTCTTTGTCGGTGAGAAATGTACCAAGAAATCTCCAACGCATTTTATATAAATATCATCATCGCCTGACAACCTACTTCAAATCATTTTTGTGACTTCACTCACTGTGACCACATAGACAATATTACTCACCGAGTCACTCAGTACCCAGTGCTCCATAGCAACGTTCTCTCATCTCCACTGATATTCAATTTGTATTGTTGTTGTTGTACATGATTATGCGGCGGGGAATTAGAAGGCTTCTGTTACTGGGTAGGGCTGGCTTTGATGGAATTGATTTCTTGGCGGGGGAGAGTACGAATTTTGTTAGATAATATTGTTTAAACTCGGAGAATTTAGACTTTCAGTTAAATATTCCAGTTAAAATAGACTATGTGATTTTTAAAAAAATTAAATACTGGAAATACACAAGCGTTTTAGAGGTGCTTCGTTGCGATGCATTGATTAGGACCCTGTTCCCGCTCGTTATTGTTACTGGATAGCGAGTTTGATTCTCGGCTTTGCTCAAAGTCAGGTTGAGTAAATAAAGGCGCCTAATTAAAAATAACTGAGCGAATGAAGCCTGTAGGCCTTAGTTTAGTTTAGTTTAGTTTAGTTTAGTTTTTCCTTCTGCCTGTGCTGTTAGGTGTCGCGGGAAGACACAATGGTCTGTCAGCGGCAAGGCGAGTGGCATGGAGGAGAGATATCTCGTCGGCTCTGAGAGTGTCTGTCACTGAGTCTCTCCAGCGTCTTCTTGATCTACTTCTCGCTCTCCAGCCAGAGTAACTGAAAGTGTATGCTCGTAGGGCTGGTTGGTTGATAGGCATACGAGTGAAGTGTCCGAACCACTTGATCTTCTGTCGTTCGATGTGTTGTATGATTGATATTGCTCCTACCATATCTCTTATTGCCTCATTCCTGATCTTGTCTCGCCTGGTCTTGTTCACTGTTTTCTTCAGGCATTTCATCTCACAAGTGATCCGTTTCCTCTCAAGGGTTTTTTTAGGGGCCATGTCTGGCACTGGTATGGCAGCGTTGGTAGGAAAATGACGTTGATGAGATTTGCCTTGGTGTTCATGGAAATGCTAGGATGTTTTAGAAGAGGAGTAAGTTGGTAACTGACTACATTGGCTTTCTGACATCTGGTCTTGATTTCTCTCTCTAGTTTACCGTTTTGAGTAAATGTGCTGCCCAGATATTTGAATTCACTAGTTTGCTTTAGTTGGGTCCCATTGATGTTAATGTCCAGCTTTTCTGGTCTCTTGCTGACGGTCATGACCTCGGGCTTACTGACACTGATCTTCATGTCGCATTTCTTGCAGCTTGAGTTGAGTTGGTCAGTGTGTTCCTGCAGCTGGATCCTGTCGTTGTTCATTGCCTGGTCGTCGGCGAACATGAGTTTGTTGAGGGCCTCGGGATCTGGATTGGCCTCCTTTGTAATCTGGTCCATGTAGAACAGTAGAGGAAAGAGATTGTAGCCTTGCCTAACCCTAGATGTGAGGACTGCGCTCCTGCTGTTAGTGGGCATAGCAGCAAGAAATGATGGCATTACAAATGAAGTCATTGTTCTTTGTAGTGAAACAGGAATACAGTGGCTCATCATCAACTTTCAGAAAGCTTGGGGAGAGAGAAAAGTACCAGGAGACTGACAAAATGCAATAGTGGTGCCAATATGGCAGAAGAAGAATAGCAAGAAAGACTTTAGGTCTTAGGATAATTCTTTTTAGAACCTCGCGAATTGGCGCTACAGAATCAGACAAAAAACTGTGTCAAATTTCTTGAGGATATTCAACAACTGCAACAACTAAAATGGATAGCACATATAACTCAAAGAGAAAATAATAACATAATCAAGGTGCTGACGTTCCACACTACTTTGATTGCTTCACAAATTTTAATAATTTAGTAAATGATTATAAATTTATGAATAAAAACAAGTTTCATGTGTATTTTTTTATAAATTGGAAAAATGATAAATATTGCATCGCATTAATTGTATTAGTTTTTAGAATGTTGTAAATATAAACGTATTCTTGTTAAAAAAAACTAAAAAAAACTAATACTTTGAATATACGCTCTTTTAGCGCTAGAGGGCGTCGTCAGTGATGTTCTGGAATTGGATCATTGGGCAGTTTCGGGTCTTTCAAACATCATACTGACCTCACCAAATCGACCCCCCCTCAGAACTGATCAGACTCTGAAACGCCCTCTAAAAATGCTTGTAGACACTGACTTCTATAAATATACCCCGTTATCACACATTTGATTGGAGATTGACCAACAGCCAATCGCAACGGCGCGAACTTTATTTAAACTGTTTACGTGTAATTTTTTCTTTTCATTTTTTTTTGAGTGGACACCCCATCATCGGATACTTAGAAGGTAATTATGTTTTCCGTTTTTACCCACTTCCCATCAAGTTTCATTTCACCAGCTAATAATTACTATTTACAGAGATAAAAAAAAATTCGGCAATTAAAATATATATACAGTGTTTAATATTTTTTGTCGTGGATTCTCAAGAACAAAAACTTTTAAATTCACTTTCCTCATATGTTTAGCTTTTATTACAATTGTAATCATCGCTTTTTAAAACAATAAAGTTAATAAACATCGCTGAAGAGTGAAGTGAATTAAAATAAAAGCGGTGTCATGGGAAAAGCCGCCCTTTTGATACTCTGCTTCTTTTATTTTTTGTTGTTTTTTTTTTTTTTGCAGGGATGAATGTTCATATTTACCGAAAAATTATGATTACACATATTTTTTCCGTCTTTTTTTTTTTTGAATTCTTGAGTTTAACGATCTATTATACAAAGTTCATTAATTTCGAATTAAATAAAAGGTTTTAATTAATTAAACCAAATTATTTCCAAAAACGATTCTTACAAAATACTTTATTCATGGCTAAAAGCATCCATAAAAGAATAAATAATGAAAAGCTTATTGAAATTAGATAATTAGTAGATTTTTGGCAAATGTTTCAAATCTAGGTGCGTTTCGTTTAAAAAATCTATATTACTTATCTATTATTAAATTATTACGTTACAGTGACGGTTGTGTGTTCAAATCGCGTTGAGGCCACCAATTAAGGGTGGGGTGCTCGTAGATAACACCTCATTAAAAAAATGATCGAATAATGTTATGAAGCATTGCTAGGAAAACTAAGAGAATACAAATTTATTACCTCCACGAAACATGACGTAGAAAATAAGAAAATGCATTACCATATTCAGGTTAATGGCCGAATACAGATTAACATACAATGATGCTACTTACGATCGGCTATAAATTGAAGGAAAACGGACATTTTTCAAGTCTGACTAGGCCGCTGACCCTTTCCTTCCTTACACTATATAATACAGCGTGATGGGTTAAAGTTAATCCCAACAAAATCTTACTGGATTTAGTTGATCATGTGATTGATATAGCTAATCAGAAGCTGTCAGTTAACAACGTGAAGGTTTTTCCCCCTGTTTTATTTCTTTTTTATTAAGGGAAAAAAGTTTCCTGTTGCTAACTGGTGGCTTCTGATTGGCTATTTGGATTTTATTAAGGTTAACGGTAATCCATCATGCCATATTATATACTGCAAGCAACATTTTAAATCCAAATATCTCCGGTTCTATAGGTAGCAATATAAGCCAACTGAGGTCTTGTTAAATTGAAAAAAAGAAAAGAAAAAAAAAAGCGGGACTTGTCGCAAAACTCAATACGGATCATTTCCTTTTCGACCAATGGTTATCAGTAAGTAGAGTCAACTTCAGAGTACAGAGCAAGAGGCTCAGACAGAGAGAAAGTCACGGAAGGAAGATTAATTATTTTTTAGACGAAAATGACAAGACAAAGACAATTGTTATCTATAAAACTGAGTATCCCGCGAAAAGGCGCACAGATGGAACGAAGTGGGACTCGCAGAACGGACAGGGTAGACGACCGCTGAACTGTCCAGTTCCCTCCTCACTTACGCTTCATCTCTACTTCGCTTGCTTATAGCAGTAAGTTACATCCCAAGAATAAAATTTGGTTTACTGCTAGAAATTGTTTTGTTTTTCACTCGTGAGTAACGATCTGGCCGAAGGGTAATTTTTAACATAGAGCGTTTGACTGGGAGGAACTGCACCCAGTCAACGAACTTGACGTCTGTTCTGAGCTGCAACACAACATATATATATATATATATCAATAATTTTTATATTTTTTTTTTTCGAATCTTGCTTCTTAATGGCAGAAATATAATGAGTATTTCCATGTGAAATAACGTTTCACAGCCTGAAAGTTCATGAGTTAAGTGTTGTTTTGTTGATGAATTTGATATTTGCCATGATAAATTGAAGACTTAAACTGCATTAAATATATGAAGATTATTTATGAACCTTTTCAGCATTGCTACTCCTACCACTACACGTTAAGAAAACCGTTTGATTTAGTAGTATTCTGTTTTATTTAATAAAGTGTTATAGCAATATTTTAAAAAATCAGTTCTGAAAGTTGGCGAGGTGAATTATAAAAATTAAAAAGAATTCTCCTTAAATTTACTTTATCTTTTGCCCCCCCCCTTATACACAGATTAACCTTGGATCCTTTCTGGTTGCTAGAAATGCCACTATCGACAGAGACTATTTCTTATACATCATGTGAAAACTGTAGGCAACAGAAATGCGATTATACAGAAGGATGCTGAGAATACCCTGGACGTAGCGCGTAAGCAACTAATTAGTCAAAGAAAGTGGAAACAAAGAACACTTTTACTCAGAATCTGAAAGAGATGGCTGAAATTTCTTGGACGCATAACATAATGAGCAGTTGCGTTGCGTGCAAAAGGTGAGCAAAGGGTGCGACGGCCCAGGGCATCCATATCTGGAGGGCATCCAATCAAAGAATGAAGTAAAAATTTACTTTATATTTAATTTGAATAAAGTGTTTATTTCATGTTACATCTGTTTTCACATATTTAAAATGTCTTCCTTTCTCATATTTCTCAGTACTACTCTCTATAAGCTCCCCTACTTAAGTCTTAGGGGCATACAATCAAGGAGATGGCCCTGGGAATCATCAAACATCACCAAACCTTTGCACGTCAGTGATAATGAAGGAGGAGGGTTTGGAGAATTTGACATATAGGCCATATCGGAGGTATAAGGGACAGGGGAAAGTAACGAGGTAAATAGATGGTGGATGTGAGGTTGTGGAGAACTTTGATCGTGAACGTCCTGAGGGTACATGGCATATAGAAGAAAATGAAGTACCATTTACAATAATATTTTTCTTGTTATGCTTTTAAAATCTCTCTCTCGCTTTTTTTTTTTTTTTCGAATTTGGATCTAGAAGCCAGGCGACACGGAATTGTAACTATACAGCTTCGTGCGTACGACTGCAAATATGGTAGGAGTGGCAGTGTTATAACATTTTTTTTATTTTTTGTCAAATGAAAAAAAAAAAACTATTTTGTTCGAAAATTCGCCTCCTTAAGGACTTTAAGCGTGATGGAAATCCTTGCTAATCGGATTTTTTTCGAAGTTCGAACACAAGAGAAAACTAAAGTTATCGTTTTTACAGCAAGTCGTCTTTTTGCGTTCTTCTACCACGTAAACACTATTTCTTATTTTACTTATTCCTTTTTTTATCAACGCAAAGCAGTCCCGGGTCATGTCCGTTGACCGGAGCGGACGAAATAACGGACGTGGGGAACGAAGAGATTAATGAACAAAAAAAAAAAAAAAAATAAAATAAAATAAACGAAATCTTAAAGGAAAACAATTTTACTGATAATAAGCAGCTGTTGTGTTTCATTCTTAGTGAAAGCCACAGTGGTTAAAGATCTGAACTGGGAACCAGTATTTTAATAAACGAAACATTTACGCTGTTCTCTATTAGGACGATGGTAAGTAAGCACGTCATTATTAGCGAGTTTGATCACTACTTGAAACTCGTGGCGATTTCCGCTTTGGTGGATTTCGCCCAGTTTTGACAAATAAGGATCGTTTCTCGGCCTTTGGCTGAGATTCGATCACGGCTACGACTAGTTATGACCGGCTTCGGCCTGGACTAGCTAAGACAAGCCATGACCAGCTTTGAGTAATCTCTGAACAGCTTGGACATGCTATGACCATTTTTGGACCAGTGGCCCTTGAGTGGAAACGCTCGGGTCTCCCACGTTAAACGACCTTGTGTCACATCCTGACCCCGTGGGAGTCAAGTAAATACCACTACTTGGTACTTTACAAGTAAATATTTATAATGTTTAGATCAATTTGGAACAGAAAAGGGAAACTAGTGGGGATCGAACTCACTACACCCTAGCGTAATATTAGACGCCCTTCGATATAGCCTCGGGCAGAGAGTTCGACCAGCACAGCTGGAAAAGATTCCAGCTAGACGATATTTATTATACAGAAT